GTTGTGACCATTTCGGGGTGCGACCAGAGTCACGGAACGAATTAAATTCGTAACCCGAGGTTCCACTGTATCATGAAAATCCATTAGAGCCTCATTTTTTTTTCAGTTGTGCTTCAGGACTTGGGGAAAAACCAGCAACACACATAAAACTCAGGCAGAGTTTCTGTCATGCTGTCGTAGCCACCAACTTGACTTTTTGGACCTACCTTGTGGACATCCTGGGCTCTTATTGTACCAATCAGAAAAAACCTGAACTGTCCAATGCACGAGTGGGATGGCTGACATTTTAAACCTGTTTCCTGCCATATAAGCATTATGCAGTGAATATGAATCTGGGAAAACAACCTATGATTAAGATGTTTATTCCTTGGGATGTTAGAGGAACATTTGATTAAAAAAAAAAACCCACCAAAAAGGAGATGTTGCTCAGGTGATCAAAAGCTTTTTGAGATTCATGAAATAACTATAGCAAGTCCGCCTGGTTTCTTCTTCCCTTCCTGTTTCCTGAAGAGCAGCAGAGGCAACCATAAATTTTACACCTAGCTTTTTAAAGCAAATTTTCCAGAAACAAAGGAGCACAGGTAAAAGGGCAGGATCGGGAGATCCATAAGCAACCTTCACCCTCTCCCCTCTGCCTTTGGGCTTAATCCTTGCCTGCTCTATCTGCCACACGGAGAAATACCAAGATCAGAAACTGGGGAAGCTTCTCATGGTGAAAGCCTACCCCATAAACATATATGAGCCACTAATCTCTCTAAAGAAGGGGAGGGAATCTTGAGTCTTCCCTAACCCGGCCCCTTCCACATGTGCTGGATGACCACTCTAGCGTTTCCAGATGCAAGGAGTTGTCCTCCAAAACATCTGGAAGGCGACTGGCTAAGGAAGGCTGGGTTTGGACAATACATTGTCCCGTGAGGCAGGTCTGACACAGGCAGATAATGGCACATAAGTACACAGAACTAAGGCAGGAATGTCTTGGATGGACTCTCCTAAAAAGGCTCAGATACACTGTTAGCGAGGAGGGGCAAGAGAAGCAGCAATCCTAACTCTGGTATGCCAAGATCCTTGTCAGAAGGGTGGGATGATAACTCTGATTTACACATTCGGTACAATCCCCCCTCTGGTGTCTTTCAGATATTTTAGACAACAACTCTCACCACCACCGATGGTCACATCTGGAGTTCACCTGATTTGAAAGGCAACTCGAACCACAATCTCACACAGTCTCCTATCATGCAACAGGGGGCGGACCTGAATCTTCCAGGAGACTGTTCGGAAACCTCATGTGTGCCATCCAGAATGTCTCCCGAGCAGAGGAAAATGGACATCGAAAGGATGACACAAAGTCGCCTAAAGAAACTTCAAAGAAAATGCCAACAGTGTGGCTGCTCCTGTTCACCTGAAGCAAGAGGATGATCCCCACCAGCCAAAGACCGAGGGGATAAATAATCTTGCTCTAATGTAAAAGCAGGAGGGGGGGGGTCCTTCTACACAAGAAATGCTGGAGGGCTTTGCCATCCCTTCCGATCTCAATTCATCCTTGTCAAGCAAAGCCTCCTGCCTGCCTCTAGCTTTGTCCCAGATCTGAGATCAGGAGGTGCTTTGGATCCCAGCTCTGCTAACAACAGCCCTGATTTCCTTGCCCGTTCAGCTTCCAGCAGCCCAGCTCCAAGAGGAAATCCCTCTGGATCATTTTCTGATCTCAAGCTGCCTTGGCGTGAAGCCCTCTGAAGGCAGCTTGTCTCTGGTGGTTGATGGCCAGGTAGCTGGCCAGCTAAGCTAGGGTTCATTTACCGGTGGGTGTTGGGAACACCTTTGCTTAGCATCCAGCCCCTTCCATTGCAGCAGGACAGCTTGGTAGCTGGTGACAGGCTAGCTTGGAGGCAAAGAGCCAGTGGTTTTATCATCCTGAAGAGAATTGGGGACATTGCAAAAGCCCAGGGGGAAGGCATTGAAGTTGGCCATAACAGCCAGAGGATTCGGGCTCAGTTAAAAGAGTTCTGAGTTTTCAGAAATGTCCCACTTGCCTTCCAGGGAGCTGTGGGTTCCATACATGCCCCAGAGCCTCCTCCAATTTTAGCCCCATATTAACCCTATGAGGTAGGGTATTCTGCGAGATAAGAGACTGGACCTGCACCATCCACTCAGCTTCTGCAGATAAGGGTGGACTTCAGCCAGGGTCTCCTCAGTCCCAGTTCACCACTTTAACTTCCTCACTTCTTGCATAGACCCATTTCTCTCTTGTGTTCTCTCCCCCAGCTGGCTTTGCCTTCAGCGAGGTCATCAGAGGAACCGAACTGACTGGCTGCCGAAGACAGTGATATCCTATCATTCACTGAATGATCCCTGGTTGGTTGGGCCCATCCTTGCATCTCATCCAGGAAAGATAAAGAAGCTGGAAGCAGTGGGGAAGATACTGAAAAGCCCAGAAGAACAAAGAAAGTGCAGAACGGAGGAAGATTTCACATCAAGTGAATTCCAACTCTCTCCCCAAAACTCCAGACAAAAAGAAGGGCAGCTTTGTCCTGCCACGATGACCCAGCTGTGCTTCAGGGATGACTCATCTACTTCCAGCCAGCTGTCCTTCACTGGAAACAGGCAGCTGGGACATGGTGTTCTCACCTTTTAGAAATGCCCTTTGATACCACAGTGTTCTTGATCTTAGTGTGAACAGCTTGGACTTCTCTTCCCCTGAAACATTTAAGAGGATGAAGATCTTCTCATGCCCAGGTAAAGCAAATTTTCCTCCAGGAGAGATTATGAGAGGTTCTTCTGAAAGAGTTGCTGTGTCTTCACATAACCATGGGGTAGAGAAGCCAATCAAAGGAGGACAGACTGCACACTCAAACTCTGGTTAGCTTAATATTCCTGAGATCCACTGGAACCATTTCCAAACCTCACATTTTTCTTAGGCCAGGCACTCCTCAAAGCTAGCAACTGGGGGCAGGGTAATCAACATAATCAAGAATCAGAGGGCTGCTTCAGGTTGGGTTTGCATGTCACACTAACCATGTTTTGCTGAACTAACCACAGTCACCACATGCAAAGCCAAAAATAAGCCAACACATGATGGGTAATGTGTTAGGGGAACCCACATATGGTTGTTATTCTTGAAACCGCCATCACCAACGCAACCAAAGATCTTGAGAAGGCTTCAACCTTTCCAATCTGAGTGCCCTACGCTTGCAAAATTGTGTTGCCCTAGTGAACCTTCTCTTAAGCAGGACTAAGAATGTATGTGCTCTTTAAGCATAATACCAGACATTGGCCTCCCCTGAGTTTGACCAGCTATGCCAACATACCTCCTTACCTGTTCATGATACTCAATGCCCATGCTCAGCGTATTGATGAGGATGGCAATCATGATCCCACGGTTGAAATACTTGCTCTCCACGATTCTTTTCAGCTTGTTGCCAAATGCCTTCCAGAGTTTGGTTAGTTTGTTCTTCTCCTTGGGTGGTTTCCTTTTCTTCTTTTTCTTGTTCCTCTGCTGCTGGATCTGGTCCCGTAAGTCCCCATGTTTTACATCCTGGGTGAACTCATAGACCCCATTGTTGTCATCTCCTGACTCATAGCTGTCTGCCTCACTGAACTCGAACTCAGGATCTTCCAGAATGCTGGCACAGAATGGGCAGTTTTGCAACTCACAGCTCAAGTTGTTGGCTTGTGGGCCGGGCAGCGGACACGGCACATTCAAGCCAGACAAAATGCTGGAGGTCCGGCAGAGGCCTGTAATGGAAGGAGAATTTTATGAGCTTGAAACCCCAAGGCCATGGGTAGGTCCAACAGAAACCAAAGTGCAGGGACAAAGATGTCTGCAAGCATGGCCCCCAATTTAGTAAGCATGTGGGGAGCAACCCTATGAAGTACCTTTAATTCATTTATATGAATCTAAATTTAAACAAAATGACATCTACTTTGGGGAGTCTGGTCCCTGGCACTCTACTCAGGGCCAAGGCCATGAGAACTGGGTGGTAGAAAATGTCATCGTTTGGATGACTGTGGATGTTAGTGACTTTCAAGTGTTTGGAGTAAGGCTACTAGTAACTCCAGATTCAGAGGTGATCTGGGGCTGTGGGGTTTAGCCTGAGCAAGACCTTCATCTGTAACCAGCAGAGATCTTCTTCTGTGCTTTTATTTCTAATGTCTTTTGATTTCTGTTCTAGATGCTGAGTCTGAACTAGGTGATTTAAACCATATTTCTTACCACGTTCTCCCACTAAATGATGGAGCTTCCCGTAGCAATCTGCATTCAGATGGACTGGGCTGCTGACCACGGCCATGGGCGAGGTCCCCCCGCTGCCTCCATTTTTCTTCCCTTTGGGCAAGGGAGTGACACTGGCTTTGTTTGCCGGAGAAGGCAAGATGGTGGGGTAGTTCATGCTGCCATGACTGGCAGCTTTGCTACCTGCAGCAACACTGGAAGACTTGCATTTCACCGAGGTCCCTTCCACATGGCAGTCAGCATGGTAAATACTGTGGATGGACTCTGTATCTGCAGCTCCACCACTTGGGCGGTTGGGGGAAGATGGAGGAAGCATAAGTTGGCTTCCAGGCTTCATGACGTCCAACTCCAGATCACAAATCTCTGGGTTGGACCGTGGCCCTTGGGGGCTCCCATTGCTGATGTGGTAGTGGTGATGGTGGTGGTGATGGTGGTGATGGATCAGGTGGTGGATGGAAGTGATGCGCCGTTTGCTGCTCTGGTGGCCTTGACCATTGGCTCCACCACTGTTGGGGTTGACTTTCTTCCGCCGCTTGTTCTGCCAATTGTTGTAGAGGCGCAATATCCGCCGCTTGACTTTCCTGAAAATATGGCAGATGTATTTGAGGAGCTCTTCATAACAGCTTCCCGGCTCAGAGAAGCTGGCAATTGTGCTGTCATTGGAGAGGTAGCGGGCTCGCTGCTCTTGCATCAGCTGGTTCTCCCGCTGTTTGGTTTCAGAAAACTGTGTTGCTATCACAACCAGGCACAAGTTAATCATGAAGAAAGAACCAACCTGTGAGAGCCAAAAGAAGACAGGTCCTTGAAGATCAAGGCGATTGGCCATGCTCACCCCACACCCATCACAGGTCAGTGAAAGACAACTGGCTGCACTGGGACACCATGCACAGCTTGGCCAGGGTTAACGTTGGTCAGTTCTTCATGGCTGAGTGTGTTGGGCTGACCTAAAGGGAACTGTGCAAGCAAGGAAATAGAGTGATCCAAGGAAAGCGTCTTGCATGAACTCGGCCAATGTAGGCATAACAGTGGCATTCTTTGACTTTCTTTTTTCAATTTCTGAAATGGGAATTTTAAAGACGGTCAGCTGCTAATACTATGAAAAGAGCCACTGGTATAGTGAAACATTGACTCTCCTTTTCATTAAAAAAACTATTTTAAAAGAAATAGAAATGTATTCAGGACCAATGGAACTTGGAGGAAGTCTTGATCTCTTTCTTGCTTTAGACTGAGAAGACCCAGGAGTGTTAAAAGCTAATAGTCAGAAGGAAAGGGCCATCAACAAGGGGAACATGTAAAATAGAAGTGGGGCTTCAATCATGAGGTCACTGACTTTTATGACCCACCCCAGACACCCCTGAGTTAGGTCAAGAGGCTAATCCAGGACCCGGTTTCTGCCTGAGCTCCAGAGGCCCAGTCCTTTATCACTGCAGCACTACTCATCCCTCCCAAATAGCCTGAAATCAGCCTCCTCTCCCCCGCCGGTTGGCTCCCATTCCTACCCTTAATATACCCCAGAAGGCAAATAAATGTGGCCTCCCCACAATGTCACTTTATCACCAGATGAAGATCTCCTTTGCATCTTGGTGGTCCTCCTCAGAACTTGCTCTATTGTCCTTCTGGAACTGTGGTGCCCACAACAGGACGCAGACCTCCAAATAGGGCCTGGCCAGGGCAGAACTAGAGCTGAAGCTGGCCACCCAGTGAAAATAGGCCCTTTTCTGGACAAAAGGGCTATTCTTTAGTGCCGGGATATTTTGGGCCAAGAGAAGTTGGAGGTGCTGCCAAGAAAGTTCCGTCTGCTTTTCTCTTTCCCTCTTTCACTACTCCTCTGATGTGAAAGATCTTCCTGCTTAGCTTCTTAATGTAAACCACCGGGATGGATAGCTTAATGCGGACATAAAAGGGGGGCTTACTGCTAGTGGAAGTTGTTAATGGCCCAGTTGGCAGATTGGAACGTTGGATGTGCTTCAAACAAGCTGTTACCACTCGAAATGCTGAGATTAGGTTTTCAGGCATTACAGCATTTATCTATTGAGGGTTGTGCTGCACCTATCTTAGTTGAGGGAAATGTGGTTTCTGAATTTGGGGATAGGCTAGTGGAGAGTACGAAGAAAACAACCAAGCTCAGAGAACCCCAAGGACTCCACAGTTCAACCCTGAGCTACACATATTCGCTTCTAGAGTACATTGAGATGTGTGAGAGGTTTGCAGTTTTCTACAGCTGTGGTAGAGGCTAGGAGATCATCTGCTTGGCCATTGACAGATGGCAGTTAAAAAAAAAAAAGATGGGGGCTGCGATTGTACAGTCATAGCCACCATCTTGAATTTTTGGACCCCCCCCCACCTTGCAGATGCCCTTGCCTCAAAGGATACTTTGCATGGTCCTTCTCATCATGCTGAGATCCCCTTTGTTAAGAAACCTGCGAGGCGCAGCTTTAACCTGAGGTGACAGCCACTTGTATCTCCCCATACTTACTATTATAAGTAGTATAAAATATATAAAATTGTAAAAAGAGTGTGCGTCCATAACATAATACATGATGTCAACCCATCCTTCCAGGGTTATAACCTGTAGGGAAAGCAGAGATGAGAGAAATGCGTAAGATCATCATCTGGAACAAGTGAAGAGGCAGAACACTTGGATATTTTCCCCCCTTCAGTCTGAAAAGAAGCTTTTCTGGATTCCTCTCCTTTTGTTCTTTCAGCCTCTCTCTGCCTCCCCTGCCCCCACATCCTCTGTTCAGCTCACACAGGGTCCTTGTGAGCACCCATGGCCTGGAGAACACAAATAACAGCAACGATATCACCCTAAAGTGAAGGAAAGCAGAGATTTGCAGAAGAGGATCTGCGGATCATTTCTTCCTACATTGTGTATTCATTCTCAGTTATTGTTTTGATGGGCATCTGAGCTGGCAGAAGAGCCTGAAGGGGAAACCAAGGAACAGGAACTCTCTGGTGTGTCCTTCCCAGAGCCTTCTACTGGATCAACTTGTTCTCCATATATGGATATAATTAGGCAGTCCGTTTACTGCCATAATGGCCAACTTCATTCCCTATCCAACTGTTCCTCTCCAACAGAACGAAGCCCCCTCCATTCCCAACCCTAGTAAGCTGAGAATTTAAGTTTTTCAAAAATAAAAGTGAGAAAGTGGAATGCTCATTAAGATTTCATAACATGTTGACAGATGGATTAAATGGTCTCACTATAACATCATGAAGCCTGAACAGCTCCAGCAGCAGGATCCATCAAGGCCTTCAGTGCTGCTGGGCAAATTTCTCTTCACCTCCTGCCTTCCATGGAATTTATCTGCTGGAGCAAACTATTTTTTCTTCCTTCAAAAGTCCAAGCTCTGCAGTTTCATCGGATACCCCATTTGCTGCTGATCCAAGACAATAAGAACCCAAACAGATTATCCAAGTTGGCGCCAACTTGACAAAGAAATATATAAAGATTAACATCAAAGTCTGTTAATGGCTAGTTATGCTTGTGTGCCTGTGTGTGTACGAGCACACACACACACACACACACACACACAGAGGCATGGCTGGCTTGTTAAGATTTGTTGAAGCCTGCAGGAACGGTCTTTCTCTGTTGGATTGTCATTGCAATAATGAGAGCTCCTATGTTACCCCAAATTTGCCCCACATTTTCTTCCAGGGCAGGGTTCTCTTAACTTTGATGGAAATCAAAACTTGGAAGAAACGAATTAAGAATGATCACTATATTGTGAGACCTTCAGATCAATCTTTTTAGAAGCTGGGCCACGATAAAAAATCTGGGGTGGGGATATATATTTCCATTTTAAATGTTTCCACATGTCAGAACCAACCTATGTGAAGAAAGGCCGCAAATCAGGGAGGCTCAAGCTAGAATGAAGGAGTATTAGCCTTCTCCATGCAAGACCTGATGGATAAAAGCAGAAGCTTTCTAGCATGCAATTCACATAGTCCCAGGATGGTCATAATATGCTTTTTCCCCCTTTTCTGAGTGGATAGTTTGCCTCTACAAAGCCTGGTCCTGAGTTTCAGTTCTGAGTTCAGTTGCTGAGCCCACAGATGGCCTTAAATACACCGTGAAGACGTTTTTTTCAGCTGTCTATACAACCCGCTCCAGCGGCATGCATTAAAGTTGCATAATTGTCCTTGCTGCTGCCACCGTTAAATGTTTGAACAAGGGGAAGGATGTTTTAATTACACAGTGAAGCAACAGCACACAACTTGAGCTTCCCATCTTCTTTTTGCTACCGAAGAAAAGAACCAAAGACTTAATTAACACTGTGAGAAGCGAGCTGTGCTGGAACCTGCAAGCGGGCATGTCTGCCAGTTGTGGTAAAAGAGTCAAGATGGGGCCCACGATGGCACACGTGCAATGCACATAAAAACAGGTGGAGCATCAACCTTAGCATCGTGACCACCATCTTGACTTTTTCAATCATACCTTGCAGACGCCCCTGCTCACAAGCAAAGGGAAAAGTCACTCATTAACACAATTCTTGTGCTGATGCACAGTCTGGTTGCACAGAGCCTCCACTGCCACCCGCGTGGTGCAAACAATGAGACGGCGTGCGAGAATGCCAGGTGGCCTTTCCTGTAGATGCTTTTGGGGCAGGAAGTTGGAGCTCCCAGCCCACCTTGGAGGATCCTGAGAACCTCAGTCTGGAGGGGTCTCAGCAGACAGTAGCACTTGGCTGACCTAAACTGGGCTGAGAAGCTAATCCAAGGCTTCTTCAATCAAGTTGTCACTTCTTGGCCAAGTGTGCAGATGGAGCAGAGACTTCAGGATTTTAAAACAGCCACATATGTGAATCTTAAGCCACATGCTAGGGAGCAAAGCATTTTCCTGGCCCATGGTGAAACTGAAGTGCTGCGAATGGAGACTGTCCTAAAGAAACCTTCTCCAGATAACAGAATTAACTCATGGAACTCACCGTCCCACGGTGAACCCTGGTTTCAGACTGCTGTCAAAGAGAGTTCGGACCATTCCTGGATGAGTGGAATTCAGCCAGGGGTCACTGGCAAGGCCCTTCCAGGTTCAGAGATGGTCTGTCTGAATGCTAATGGTGGAGAGGTGACCCACGGAGAAGAATGTGCCCATTGCTTTTTGCTTGTGGGCTTCCCCAGAACCTTCTGGTCAGCCATGGTTGGAAACAAGACGTTGGATTATTTTGTTTTTTTCATTGTTCGTGGCCTGATCCATCAGGCCCCTCTTGATAACCCAGCCCCACTAACATGTTCCCCCCATCCCTGAATAGCAGAGCCCTGGATGCTTTCTTGGAAGTCATTCCTAGTGACTCCAATTCCCGCTCAGCTAGGGAAACATCAAAAATAATGTCTTCAGGCACGCCTAATAATATGAGTTTTGAAACAAAGGTGGCATAGGGGTAGCCTGCAGAAGGAAGGAGAGATTGAAACATGTCTCAGCCTCCATCACATCGAAGTCTTCTGGCCTGCTGCAGAAGAAAAAGAAGAAGAAACCAGCCAGTTGCTTGTCTCCTGGCCTGGCACCTCAATGGCCTTTGAAGCAGCTGGCCAGCCATGAAGGGCCCTCCTCATCTGCATAGCTGTGCTGGAAATCCAGAGCTGGAAAGCATCTTGCAAGGAAAGCCGAGGCACCACCGACACGTCTTGGCCCCATGCCAGGGTTTTCCTTCTGTCACCATCACTCGTCTTCCTAAGATGGGTTTCTTGGCACCCTGCTGGAACAGCTGCAGAAACAGGTGGCTGCTCTCTCCAGGCGCTCCGATGAAGAACGAGCTGAGGGACCCCCAATATATTGGACAGACCTCTTCTGTGAACATTTCCTTGTGGGAGGGAAGCCTCAGAGCAGAATTCAGGGGAAGAAAATAAGTGAGAATAAGCAACTGCTCAGGGGTTCCTCCCCTGCTTTCGTTCATGGGTGGGGCTAGCATGTTCTTCTGCCCCACTGCAGAAAAGCAGCCATGAGAGACAGAGAGAGAGAGAGAGAGAGAGAGAGAGAAGGAGAAAGTGAGGGGGAAATCAAGTTTACAGGATCTGCTTCCTGGGCTGCTGAAATCCTCTTCCTACATGGTAGACCTGGTGGCACTAATGGAGATCTAACACAGACCTTGTTTCAGCTCCCACTGGAATGCAATTTATGGGCTCTATTCACACAGCGTGCTTTGCAGGTCAGGTCAAGATGGAGCAGTTGCATTTGTAGAAAACACTCAACTTTGTTGCTGCTAATCTGGTTTGGTTTTTTTTTTTAATGGCTTAGCTTGTGTTGGTTAGTTTGGTGTAGGGTGCAAATCATGCTGAACAAATGCAGCAACAGGGCTGGTTGGAGGTTTTCAAACAGTGCAGTACTATGACCTGCTAACATGATACATGGATTTGTGTGATCCTCTCATGAACAAAATTGTTCCATGGCTTACAGGAAGGCACCGACTTTTCATGTTGTGTTAGAAGAAATGCAACTTCTTAGAAGATTGGCAACTTTCTCCTGCAGGATGTGCCAAATTAACTCCCAGACTGGCCCTGGAGTCAAGAAAGGAAACTCTCTGCTCTGGGAGACATGAAAGAATTTGAGACGTTGAAAGCCCGGAGGGAGACGAAGGCCTGCTGCCTATCACAGTACGAAGAGAGACATCTGGCTGGAAAAGACACTGCGGAGGATGGGCAGGGAAGGAAAATAGACCGAATGGGGTCGAAGGGAACAGAAAGAAAAGGGAAAAGGAAACAGAGGAAAAGGTTGTGGGGAGGGTTGCAGAAGGCAAAGCCAATTGCAGGAAGTGATAAAGTTGAACAGAAATATGGCAGTGCTGGTCATCAATAACATCTCCAGAACATCTAATGAAGTGTCAAGATCTCCACCATGACCAGATGGCAGCCATGAACAAGGGGGAAAATCTGTTTTTTGCCCATTATACTTTCTTTCTTCCCCCCCCCTTTGATTCACCAGTTCCAAATTCTTCTGCTCTCCTTCTCTGCGATGATCTTAGCAGTTCCACCCAGCAAACAGCGGACAGGCCTGCCACAATCCTTCTGCATTTTGGGAGGTCTCTGAGCTGTCACTTCCATTCATCCTGGCCACAAAATGTAATTTTGGATGGGTGCTAAGTACATCTACTCCAGATGCCTTGGACGCCTAGATTTCTCAGGTTGGGGGAGGCAAACTCTGCCCCCGCTTCCCTAATTTCATGTCTGTGCATTAAAAAAACAAAAAAAAAAACCAATTTGGGAAAACTAAAACAATTTTGGGAGGAAAAACCCTAAAAGAAAATAGGATCTTCTCTCTGTCTCTCTCTTCATTCCCCACCCCTCTGTATTTAGCAATTCCAGAGATAAATATATAAAAAAAGTTAAGAAATTGTCGGTGATGTAAGTGTCCAAGAATCTGGAAAAAAAAAATCAAGATGAGAATTTAGAAAGTCTAGTTCATGAGAGCAATCCAATTAGTGTTTTCACCATTAGCTCTGGTGTTTTTCCAGATGTGATGGAATAAAAGTTCCATCAGCCCCAGCCAGCACGACCATGGGAATTTGGGGGATGGCAATCCAACAATAGTGGCCAAGGGATTGGAAAAAAAATCAATTTATATTCCAGTGCAAA